GGTCTATGCTACTGGGTCTACGCATGGTGTGTGCTCATTTTTTATGTTTTGTAGAGATGGGGTCTCACTATGTTGCCCAAGCTGGTCTTGAACTCCTGGGCTCAAGCAGTCCTCCAACCTTGGCTTCCCAAAGTGCTGGGATTACAGGCGAGACCCACCATGCCTGGCCTTAGATAGTTTTTGAAGCTGGAGTTAGATACGATTTCCCCATCCAAGGCAATTCTCTGCTATAGAGATTGGGGCTGTATTGGCAGTTGTGGTCCTAGGAAGGTAGAACGCAAGGCCTGGGATGAGTCCTGCTGTTCCATGATTCTCTGCCAGGGTCTGCACTGTCAGTGACATAACCACGTGACAGAATCCTGCATCACCACGGTAAACCTAGTTCTGGACTGAGGCCTTGGAAGGCTCGGAGGGCAACCACAGAACACTAGTGCTATGGACTGAATACTTTTGTGTCCCCCGCTCTGCCAAAGTCACGTGCTCAAATCCCACTCTCTAGTTTCACTGTATTAGAAGGTAGAGCCCTTGGGAGGGGATTAGGTCATCAGGGTGGACTCCTTGTGAATGGAATAATGTGCTTAGAAGAGACCCCATAGAGATCCCTGGTCCCTTCTGTCTTGTGAGGTCACAGAAGCTGGCAGTTGGGCCCTCACCAGACACCGAATCTGCTGATGCCTTGCTCTTGAACTTCCAGCCTTGAGAACTGTGAAAAATGAATTTCTGTTGTTTTAAGCCACTCAGGTAATGGGAGTTTGTTATAGCAGCCTGAATGGACTGAGCCACTAGACAGGGAGGAGAACGCCAGCAACAGAAAACCTTCTGTCACGATGAGCCTGAGACCCAACATCAAACTTTCTACCAGGATGAGCCTGAGACCCCAGTTCCTCTGTACTCTAACACACATCCTCACAGAGTTGATGCCTTACAGAGCTGTGCATTTACTGCGTCGGAAATTCAAGGACAGACAGTCTGGCAAAAACTGTCAAAATAAGTATGTTTAAGATGCTTAAAAACATAAATTAGCATCCATGAAAACAAGAAATTTTCCAAAAGGAAACAAGAGCAAGAAGATGTGACCCAAAAATAAAGGAAGAAAAAAAGGAAGAAGAACTTGAAATCTAGTAAATGAAAAGGATATGAGCCAGGATGATAGACTCTGTACTGGACATAGTCAAAGATAAAATTAGTGGATTGGCAGTTACTTCACAAAATTGACCCAGACAACAGGGACAAGGTGGAGGGGCACAGTGATAAAATTCAAGGTCCTGTATTCAGGCAAGCCTGGAGGCAACTCTTTACTTTAACTTGACAGTTATGTGCCACAATAATGGCTATTTATTTATTTATTTTTTTGAGACGGAGTTTCGCTCTTGTTGCCCAGGCTGAAGTGCAATGGTACGATCTCGGCCCACCAGAACCTCTGTCTCCTGGGTTCAAGCGATTCTCCTGTCTCAGTGTCCTGAGTAGCTGGGATTACAGGCATGCACTACCACTTCCATCTAATTTTGTATTTTTAGTAGAGACGGGGTTTTTCTGTGTTGGTCAAACTGGTCTCGAACTTCCAATCTCAGGTGATCTGCCCACCTCAGCCTCCCAAAGTGTTGGGATTACAGGCGTGAGCCACCGTGCCTGGCCTAATAATGGCTTTTTAACTGAAGCTAGTTTGAGTCTGTTTGCTTTTTGCCTGCAAGAGGAATAATCTTTTCTCATGTACAAACCCCTTCATAAGATGACACTGTTTCATTAAAGTTAGGCATTAGATGATCTGACAGTCAGCTAGAGTAAATTATCAGAGAAGATGTAAATCAGGGCATTTGATATGATTAATATTGGCACATAAAAAAGAAATCTCTGAAACTTAAGACAAGGAAAACAAACTTGATGGGAGGACGTGGACAGGAGACCGGTTTGCTTAGCGGCCTATCTCCACCCTCCTCCTGCACACCACCCAGCCGAGGAGCCCACTTCCAGGAGACCCGTCTGCACAGCGGCCTATCCCCACCCTCCTCCCTCATGCTGCCAAGCCCAGGAGCCCGCTTCTGAATGCTCCGTTCGATCTCTGAAGAGGTTTCAACACTTGACAGGATCCTTATCAGGTTTTAAGACACATTTGGGTGATCTTTATTAGTATTGTTGAAATTTCTTTGTGTTTGCAAGTATGCATTGAAATACTGAATTGGGCCGGGCGCAGTGGCTCGCGCTTGTAATCCCAGCACTTTGGGAGGCCCAGGTGGACGGATCAGGAGGTCAGGAGATCGAGACCATCCTGGCTAACACAGTGAAACCCCACCTCTACTAAAAATACAAAGAATTAGCTGGGCCTGGTGGCAGGCGCCTGTAGTCCCAGCTAGTCAGGAGGCTGAGGCAGGAGAATGGCGTGAATTTGGGAGGCGGAGCTTGCAGTGAGCCAAGATTGCACCCCTGCACTCCGGCCTGGGAGACAGAGCGAGACTCCGTCTCAAAAAAAACAAAAAAAATAAACACCTGAATTGAAGAGATATTCATGTTCTTTAGCTAATGTTATGGTCTTAGGAGCAGCCTTGTCTCCAAAACTCACAGTGTAATATATTTATAATATTTATATATATATTTAATTGCAACAAACTATACTAACATAAAACTTGCCAGCTTCACCAGTTCAGTGAATGCTAGATTCATGTAGTGAAATGTGCTTATGTCCCCTCCCCACCCCTGCCGTGTTCAGCCTCTGCTGTTACTCCCCAGCCAGGCGCAGCTTTGGGTGTGTCCACAGTCACCCTGCTGCTCTCTTCCACTCTCTCTGACCACACTCAGTTTTGAGCCCCACAAATGTTTCTGTTGTCTTCAGCAATGCCCTGGGATAATTAGGAACCAATTCAGTGAAATTGTGGCTAATTCTAAAAACAGTTTCTGAAGTCATTTTAGGAGATTTGTTCCCACCCTGGAGGGCTCCTGCAGCAAGAATTCTCCAGCTCTCCCTGCAGACTACCCAGCCGCAGTCCAGTCTGTGTCTCCATTAAACCCACACCTCCAGTTGCCTCCACTGCTCTTAGGTTTAAAGAGTGCCCTCAGGTTTGTTTAAACATCACCAAACTCGTTTCTCCCTGAATGACGCCCCTGGTCTTATGGTATCAGCCAGGGCCCTCTCAGCTTGTCACTCCAGCCCTGCAACCACTGCCTCCCAGAGCCAGGGCACAGCTGATCAGGACCCCTGGTATTAGCCCGCCACACTCAAAGTTGAGCCTCCATTCCAGAGTGGAGGCTGGACAGAGGTAGGAAGGCCCCCGCCCATGACTGCACTAGCCAGGATGTGGCATCAGCAGCACGTAGCTGGGGCGTGATGGAGCGGGGGAGAGAGCACTGCGTCGTCAGCTACAGCAGTCTGGAATGGAGTTGCTGCCTCACTGGCCTGGAAAGGGGAGGCAGGGAGCAGTCTTGGTTCAAATGCAACAGACTCTGGCCTTTCTTACTGAATTTTTGATTGTTTGCTGTGAACCCTTAGAATGATCTCCAGCGTCTTTGAATAGTTGTTTTCTTACAGGGTTCACCTGTTTTCCTTGGGAGCAAGCAGGTCAGTGGAGTTTCTTGTGCTATCATGCTGGAAGTTGATTCCCCACAGTAGGGATTCTTGCAGAAGAAATATTACTTTAGAAGAGAGGCTGGGCACGGTGGCTCAAGCCTGTGGTCTCAGCTACTTGGGAAGCTGAGGCAGGAGGATCACTTGAGCTCGGGAGGTCAAAGCTGTAGTGAGCCGTGGTCACACCATGCACTCTCGCCTGGGTGACACAGTGAGGCCCTGTCTCAGAAAGAAAAAGGAAGATAAGGAGGCTAGGACAGGGGTGGTGGCCTTCTAGGCCTTCTTTCCTCTCTCTCCAGCAACTCCAGATCACATGTCTGTGAGTCATTTAAAAATGTCTTCATTCAGGCCGGGCGCGGTGGCTCAAGCCTGTAATCCCAGCACTTTGGGAGGCCGAGACGGGCGGATCACGAGGGCAGGAGATCGAGACCATCCTGTCTAACCCGGTGAAACCCCGTCTCTACTAAAAAAATACAAAAAACTAGCCGGGCGCGGTGACGGGCGCCTGTAGTCCCAGCTACTCCGGAGGCTGAGGCAGGAGAATGGCGTAAACCCGGGAGGCGGAGCTTGCAGTGAGCTGAGATCCGGCCACTGCACTCCAGCCTGGGCGACAGAGCCAGACTCCGTCTCAAAAAAAAAAAAAAAAAAGTCTTCATTCAGTTCACGCCAGGATGCTGTTCAGGAAAATGTGTTGGACTTCTCTGGCTGCTGAGAAGGTGGACTTGGATTCCCCTTCTTTGCCTGCCGTCCTTGTGCCAGGGCCCAAGGATGGAAGAAAGTCAGATGGTCTGTCAGTGTTGTGATTTGTTAGGGAGTCTGTGGTCTTAGACCAGTCCATTGACACCCTCTTTCTCTGGAGGATCACAGAGATCTCTTCCCCATAACTTGCAATGAGATTGACTTTGTGCGAGGACCGTGAAGCCTTGATGAAAGGCTTTCTTCAGAGGGTCTTTCCTATATATTTAATTTTGCTGTGTGATTTTCTAGGAGTTTGCGGCACTTACTAAGGAACTCAATGTGTGCAGGGAACAGCTTCTTGAAAGGGAAGAAGAAATTGCTGAACTGAAAGCAGAAAGGAATAACACCAGGGTGAGTGTGACCTTTCTGTTCACCGTCTGCCCCTGGAGCCACTGTCAGGAGGAGGGGTGCTGTCTCAAAACAAAAGGACGACCCACTCTGTCCGGCCTGAAACACTTTTCATACCTTTTCCCACTGAGCAGACTGTGATTAGTCAGCATGATCACACATTAATGACTTGAAATTTGTGATGAGAAGTTAGGATATTTTAATACAGTTGAGGGGAATTTGTCTTTCTGCTGAATTGAAGGGACTTCATTTTAGCATGAGACTGTAAAGGAATTATTTGCCCCAGATTCAATCATGAAATTAAAAGTGCTCTTTAACGAGTCTTTATTTTGGCCTTTTATTTCAGCTGCTGTTAGAGCATTTGGAATGCCTCGTCTCCAGGCATGAGCGGTCTCTTAGGATGACTGTGGTGAAGAGACAAGCGCAGTCCCCAGCAGGCGTGTCCAGCGAAGTGGAAGTGCTGAAAGCCCTGAAGTCCTTATTTGAACACCACAAAGCTCTGGATGAAAAGGTGCCATCAGCCACATAAGTCTTGGTTTGTGCACATACCGTGTATTAGGCCAGCTTCGCAAATGTTGGTGTAACTTTTATTTTTTGAAGCTTCTTGAACTCTTGGAAATAACTTCTCTAAGAAAACAGGGTTTTGTAGGTTTAAAAAGTACTAATTGGCATAAATGTCTTAAAATTACCAATATATATTGATTTGCTGTTACAGATTGGGTAGTATTAGGTTGTTGCAAAAGTAATTGTGGGCTTTGCTATTACTTTTAATGGCAAACCCTGCAATTACTTTTGCAACAACCTAGTATTTCAGGGGAAGATTTGTTTTTCTCAAACTTAATTTAGAGCCATTAACAAGTTTTCGTGACACTAAGATCGAGGACAGACATTAATGGTATTTTATTATGTTATATTACACTAATATATACATTAAGTGTATATATTACACTTAACTATGTATTAAGAATAAAATAAACAGTATACACACATACACACAAACTCAACCCCTTTTATTTTCAGGTGAGAGAGCGATTACGAGTAGCACTTGAAAGATGTAGTTTGTTAGAAGAGGAATTAGGTGCCACACACAAAGAGGTAAGCTTGAGACTTCATCATCAGTTGAACTGGGAGGTTTTTATTTTTATCCTTTAATTATTAAAAGAAGCATAAGGCCAGGCGCAGTGGCTCACGCCTGTCATCCCAGCACTTTGGGAGGCCAAGGCGGGTGGATCACCTGATGTCAGGAGTTCGAGACCAGCCTGACCAACATGGTGAAACACCATCTCTACTAAAAATACAAAATTAGCCGGGAGTGGTGGCATGTTCCTTTAGTCCCAGCTACTCGGGAGGCTGAGACATGAGAATCGCTTGAGCCCAGGAGGTGGAGGTTGCAGTGAGCTGAGATTGCGCCACTGCACTCCAGCCTGGGCGACAGAGCCAGACTCTTGTCTCAAAAAAAAAAAAAAAGTAAAAGTAAAAGAAGTATAAAGACTGTAGTTGTGTGTATCACATGTTATATTGAGGACCAACCTATCTGGGTCATTTTAAGGACTAGAAAACTATGGTTACCTAAGGACTCATTTGGCCAGTGGATAATAAATTCCGTCTTTAATGATCTGGTTATTTTCGGATTGGATAGCATTGCCATATGCTTTCTCTTTTATACTATATTAAGCAGTTTATAGTTGTGTTTTTCCAAAAGGAGTTTTGCTATCTTTACTTATTTCTCTTACGTAAGGTATTTTACACTCATATTCAATTTTTTGGTTTCAGCTAATGATTCTTAAAGAACAGAATAGTCAGAAAAAAACACTAACAGATGGAGTGCTGGACATAAACCACGAACAAGAAAATACACCAAGCACGAATGGAAAGGCAAGTCTGTAGGCTTTCTCTTCATTCTGTTTGATTTCATTTGTCCACAGCATGTGTCGGGTTATGTGGAAAATGGTTGCTAAAGTGCCGGCTTAGAGCTGAAGTGGTCATGAAAATTGTGTAATCCGACAGATTGCATAAGTCAGTTTTGATTTTAGCTGTTTCCTGGAAGTATTTTTATTTTATAGCTCACCAAACAAGGGTATTTAGGGTGTCTTTTTTTTTTTTTCCTCCTATCAGAGATCTTCTGATGGTTCTTTAAGCCATGAGGAAGACCTTGCTAAAGTAATTGAGCTCCAAGAAATCATAAGTAAGCAGTCAAGGGAACAGAGCCAAATGAAAGAACGCCTGGCTTCCCTCTCCAGTCACGTGTCAGAGCTGGAAGAGGATCTGGACACTGCTAGAAAAGATCTCATCAAATCTGAAGAAATGAACACAAAATTGCAACGAGATGTCCGTGAAGTGAGCAGTAACAAAAATTACAGGCTTGTCATGAAGTTGAATGTTTGGGAGGTTTTAGTTAAATGATTTTTTTTCTCCTTTTGTCCCTTGCTCTCCCAATTACTTTCAACCTTTGGATTATTATATAAGTTATATTGAAAAAGAAAGAGTGCTGTGAAACTGCGATAAGATGCCTCCCCATTTTTGTTGTGAAATCTCCTGTCCCTGAGCGCTTCAAAATAGAGGAGAACTGGTACCACTGACTGATGTGGCCATGGAGTGGACGCCACACCAGCCCCTCCTACCTGTGCTGCTTTGGTATTCTTTAATGTCCTTGTTTGTAGATTCTTTATCTGTGCAATTTCTAGGCTGTCTTAATTGGTTCTTATGTTCAGATTGCCTTCCGTTGCACACATGCTTAGCAAGCAGACGTTGATCCTGGCTGTGCTAGTTCACGTAGGGCGATGTGACTATAGTCTGTTAACTGTGGGAAGGGGCGTTGCTGGCGGTCTTCTCGTTTTGTGACCTGCTCCTTCAAGGAACTCGTGGCATTGAATATTGATGGTCAGACAAATAATCAAGAGTGGAATTTGCTTCCACGTGGGTCATCAGGATCGTATAGTAAAAATATGTCGCATATACTCATTGCTGACAAGTATTTCTGCCATTATCACTATGAGAAACTACTTGATCATGGAACAGTGAGGCTGAGTTCTTTCTCAGGTGCCCTTCCTGTCACTTTCTAACCTGCGCTTTGTCCCTTGTCAGGCGCCTCAACCGTGGAACGTCTGCTTTTCAGTGTGATAGTTTGGCATGAGTAATTTCATGTAGGAATTCGCCACAGGAAGAGCATGTGTGTGTGCTGTGTCACCTGCTAGGTTCTATTCTTTGGCTATAGCGGGAGAGTATGTGGCAGAGATGAACATGCTGAGAATTTTTAAGACCTATCACTTTTATTTTTTATTTTTTATTTTACCTTTCAAGTTTGGGGCACATGCTCAGGTCTGTGACGGGTGAACGTGTGTCCTGGGGGTTTGTTGTGCAGATTATTTCATCATCCAGGTACCAAGCCCAGCACCCGTGCGTTATTTTTCCTGATCCTCTTCTTCCTCCCACCCTCCAGTGTGTGGTGTTCCCCTCTGTGCGTCCCTGTGTTCTCATCATTTAGCTCCCACTTATAAGTGAGAACATGAGGTATGTTGTTTTTCTGTTCCTGTGTTTGCTAAAGATAGTGGCCGCCAGCTCCATCCATGTCTCTGCAAAGGACATGATCTCATTCTGTTTTATGGCTTCATAGTATTCCATGGTGTATACGTACCACATTTTCCTGATCCAGTCCACTATTGATGGGCATTTAGGTTGATTCCATGTCTTTGCTATTGTGAATAGTGCTACAGTGAACATACACATACATGTGTCTATATAATAGAACGATTTATATTCCTTTGGGTATATACCCAGTAATGAGATTTCTGGGTTGGTATTTCCATCTTTAGGTCTTTGAGGAATCTCCACACTGCCTTCCACAATGGTTGAACTAATTTACACTCCCACCAACAGTAGGAAAACATTCCTTTCTCTCCACAACCTCACCAGCATCTGTTATTGACTTTTCCATAATAGCCTTTCTGACTGGTGTGAGATCCTGTGTCATTGTGGTTTTGATTTGCATTTCTCTAATCAGTGATGTTGAGCTTTTTTCCCCTATGCCTTTTAGTAGTCACTTTTAATAGTTATCACTTCGCTAACCTTAGTCATTTTATAAATAGGGAACAACTTGAAAATAGTGAATTCTGGGGGTGGAGGACAGGTATTTCACAAGCAAGAAGTTCTGGTCCTAGCCTTAAGTGTTTGATACTGTTTAGTAATCATCTTGTAGACTTCAGGTAGTTGCGTCCAATTAAATTGAACTTGTACTTCTGTTTCCATTTGTCAATATGCCTGAATCTTGTAATTGTATGAGATTTCATCTAACCCTTATCCTAGAAAGTGAGACTTGTATCTCACTATTGTATCCATTGAGAGAGGCCACACCCTGTCCTGTGTAAGACCATTTGTAGCGTGAGGCAGACATAGACTGCGTCTTCTTTGAGGACGCTTTCACCTCCTTGAAAAATATTTAGATATTTGAGTGTATATATTTTTATAATATTATGTAGAAATAGGAAAGCTTGGTCAACTGAGTGGCTAGACATAGTATTAAGAGAGACAAGTCTTTGTTAATCGTATAGGTGAATATTTATGATATTTGAGGTAGTTACATTTTCATTCACATTTGAGAAAATTGACGTCGTCTTCAATTTAATTTTGAGGACACTATTTTTTTTTTTTTTTTTGGAGACAGGATCTCTCTCGTTACCCAGGCTGGAGTGCAGTGGTGCCATCATAGCTCACTGCAGCCTTGAACTGCCGGACTCGAGCAATCCTCCTGCCTCAGCCTCCCAAGTACCTGGGACTACAGGGGCATGCCACCATGCGTGGCTGATTTTTGTTTCTTTAAAATTTTTTTGGCCAGGGATGCTGGCTCACGTCTGTAATCTTAACACTTTGGGAGGCCAAAGGAAGGCCAAGGAGGATCTCTTGAGCCCAGAAATTCAAGACCAGCCTGAGCGACATAGTAAGACCTCTATCTCTACAAAAAATTAAAAATTAGTGGATATAGTGGTATGCGCTTGTAGTCCCAGCTACTGGGAAGATTGAGGTGGAAGGATCCCTTGAGCCTGGGAAGTCAAGGCTGTGGTGAGCCCTGATTGCACCACAGCATTCCAGCCTAGGTGATAGAGGGAGACTGTGTCTCAAAAAATAAAATACAATATTTTTGTAGAGACAAGGTCTTGAACTCCTGGCCTCAAACCATCCTCCCATCTTAGCGTCCCAAAGTACTGTGATTATAGGAGTGAGCTGCTGTATCTGGCCTGAAGATGCTAATTTTTAATTTGATTGGAAATTTGGGATTTAGTTCAGTTTTTTTCTCTCTTAAGTATCTTAATGTGTAATCTGTTAATTACGTACTTTTTTGTCCCCTCTGAAATACTAATTTAGGCCATGGCCCAAAAGGAAGACATGGAAGAGAGAATCACTACTCTTGAAAAACGCTACCTCGCTGCACAGCGTGAAGCCACATCTGTGCATGACCTCAATGATAAACTTGAAAATGAAATTGCAAATAAAGATTCTATGCATCGACAGGTAATGGATTTTATCGATCTTTGTCTGGCTTCAGTTAATTATTAATGAAATTAAAGACCCTTTTTCTCTCACTTTCATGTTGGAAATCAAGTCCAAATATCAAGTTTTTATGACCTTAGAATATTATGTTCAAGATATGTGGGAGTTCCTTCAGTTTACAGGTTTTGATAACGTAGGATTTGATTTAACCATTTTGTCCTCAATTTTTTCTTTTGTTGTAATTGAAAGTTAATCTATTGCTTTTTAGCATTTTTACCAAAGGAGGAGAGAGTGGCAAAGAACTTCAAGGCAACTGGCTATTTGTTACTAAGTGGGAGCACTATGATAAATGAATAGTATGAGAAATAAAGTCTTGGTCAGACGCAGTGGCTCGTGCCTGTCATTCTAACACTTTGCGAAGCTGAGGCGGGAAGATCACTTGAGCCCAGGAATGTGAGAACAGTCTGGTCAACATAGCAAGACCCTGTCTCTACAGAAAATTAAAAAAATAAATAATTAGCTCGGCATGGTGGAATGTGCCTTTAGCCCTAGCTACTCAGGAGGCTAAGGAGGGAGGATGACTTGAGCCCTGGAGTTCAAGGCTTCACTGTGCTATGATTGTGCCACTGGACTCCA